AACAGATTGAGCTGGAAGCAGGGTGAGCAGTCAGAGCTGAAGTGGAAAACTAAACATGAGAAGATAAAGTCTGGGTTAGAAAAGTGGCTGCTGTGCTAAAAATGGAAGACTAGAAAGATGTAGAAGTAGAAGTCAACAGGGCCTAGCTGTCAGATATCAGATTTAAAGATGATGCTGATGTTTTGTCTTGGGTACACTGAAATGCTAAAACAGGATGATATAGTTTGAAGAGAAAGCAAATGAACTCACTTGTGGACATACTATTTGTCTCTAGTGGAGAATGAAGAGGCTTGTATAGATATGACTTTTTGAAAAATCTGTGCTGTAGATTGTGAGTTAGAAGGTGGCCAGAAACAATAACACTGGGAAAGAATACAGTTGCTGGGCCCTCCCTGGTGGCTCAGCGGGTTAAAGCATAGCACTAAGAAGCTAAAGTCACTTCCGCATGAGTTCGATCCCCGCCTGCCCCAGAGGAGATCCACATGGCGTGGCAGACCTTGCCTGACCCGCCCGCTGCTCCCCTCAGCAGTGTACTTCGTCCATCTGCCTGTTCTGCCCCCCTCTCTGTCTCTGGTGAGTCCTCTCACCCTCCATATCTCTGGCCTGTACCCCAGTTCTATATGAATAAATAAATCTTTACAAAAAAAAAAAAAAAAAGAATACAGTTGCTAAAGGAGGAATCCAGAATGGAAACATGAAGGACCAACACAAACTTGAAAGAGGTAGAAAAAGATCAAAGAGTATGAGTTACAGAAATGGTTTAGGTGTTGCTATAACCTATCTTTCTAAAGTAAGTTTCTAATTTCTTTGGATATCTTTTATCTTACAAACTAGAGGGAAGATGTATAATCAAGGCTGTTTTATAATATGGTCTTGCTATAAAGTAAAAATGAGTGCTTACAGTACACATTAAAAAATTAAATTAAATACAATAAATATGAAGCAAATTTGTCCATACTATGTGATGATGCGTTTACTATATAATACTGTATCTTTAAACCCATATTTAAGAAAATAAAAACCTGAAGTGAAACTGTATATAATCTATTATCTACATTTCAAAAACATTTATTTTTGTATATGTACTACAGGTAAAAAGTATTTTGACATCATCCTATTTAATTCTTAAATAAAAGCCATAATAATGGCATAGGATTTTTTTTGTGTGTGTGATAGAGGTAACATTGGTTTACAACCTGGATATGATTTAGAGAAACTTTTATTCTCCTTCTAAAGAAATCAGCACTCAGAGAAGTAAGAAGGCTCTCCTAAAACTACAATCTAGAGAACGTCAGGGCTCTTTCCACTACGCTGTGATGCTCATTTGATTTATCTTACAGGGGCAGTAATTTCACTTATTTTATAATTTTCAAGTATAAACTTTGAGTTTTGTGTATATGTGCGAGAGAGAGAGAGAGAGAGAGAGAGAAATGAACAAGGAATGATAACAACATGGACTATCTTTACTTTGAACCATTATACCATTATCTTTTCAGTGGACTAATTATATGAAACTTATTTCAATTGATGATTCCAACCTCAGAATGTAGTGAACAGATGATTTACCTAATTTGCTACGTCTAATCTCTTCTGGTGACACAGGCCGCAGCTTTCTTTCTGCTTTGATTTCTTCTAATATTCTTTCATGAAGACTCCGTGGCCGTGGTGGAGTGGGTTTCAGCTTTCTGGCTGAAGCCTTGAAAAAAAGAAAGTAAAGGATAAAGACTTTAGTCCTTAAATTATTTTTACTCATAACAGTATTGTGAAATTATATTTATTTGTTGCAACACTGCTTGATAAAAGCAGTCAAGTCATGACTATAATTCCTAAAGTAATAAGGAGATTCCTAAATTTCAGTGATTTAGTCATATATGCTTAACTGACCTGCTAGCATTATAACTATGTTCCCCATATGCCAGTATGATAGGCAATTGATATGTATACTTTATTAATACTGATTTTGAAACTAACATTTTTAGTAAGTTAAATCATTACAATTGTCTCAGGTTAACTTCATTCTTTGGTTGAAGAAATAAAGGCTCTGGGATGCTGAATTAGCTTTCTGGGAGACATGTGGCTGTTAAATTGTGGGCTTAGTACACAAATCCATTTGATTCCATACTCTTTCTGCCCTACCATGACTTGACTTCTTAAAATTATTTCCTAGATGGCCTCATTCCTTATTTTGAAATATTTACAAGAAAGATCATCAATCATGTTGTAGATGTATACAAATTGGGAAAGGAAAACCACCCCCTTTCTAGTTAATGCATAGGTTTCAGAAGCTTTGGTGAACACTGGTTATTGAGCCAGGGGAAAACAAGAAAAACAGAAAAATGAAAACCAACATTCAAACAGGACAAGAATACTTTCATTTTGCACTCACTAAAAACAAATTGTTGGCCCTCCCTGGTGGTGCAGCGGGTTAAAGCACAGCACTAAGAAGCTAACGCCACTTCAGCATGAGTTCAATCCCTGCCTGCCCCAGAGGTGACCACCTGGATGTAGCAGACCTCTCCTGGCCCGCCCGCTGCTCCCTTCAGTAGTGTACTTCAACGATCTGCCTATTCAGCTCCCCACTCTGTCTCTGGTGAAGCCTCTCACCGCCCCTGCACCTCTGGCCTGAACCCCAGTTCTGTATGCACAAATAAATCTTTTTTAGGAAAAAAAAAAAAAAACCTGTTATCAGAGGAAGATAATCAAAAGAGGATGTACATCAAGGTGAATTACCTCCTAAAGCAATCAAGGAGGGCATGAGCACTATAAAATAAGTAGAATGGCAATTTGTAGCAGGAACTATCTGACATTATATTTAACCAAAATTCTAGGAGACAGTTGGCTAGATTTTGAAGAAGAATCCAGTGTTTTATTGAATAATTTTAAGTATTTTTCTGTGACTTAATATAATTATAGTTGGGCTTCATTACTCTGAGAATAAAAGCTTAGTGTAACCCCTGTAGGAGCTGAATCTAGAGGTCACTAATTACAGCAGAATAATATTTCCAGTTAAGAATAATATTTCATACATACTGGATTTAAAGGAGGTCTTGACCTGATGAAGTCCAGGATGATCTCATGCGCACTTTTTTTTAACCGAGGGGGAATATCACCATTCACCTGGAAGAAGACAAAGTATAGGATTCATGTGACTTTATGGTTATCATTGCAGATATCTATAGAAAAATCATTTAAGAATGTATTTCAAATCAACAACCCAGAGAGTGAATAGCTAAGTGACTGAGAGCAAAGCTAAGTATCAGTACTGAAGAAGATCAAGTTTACTATATAGTTCTATCGGTTTGGGAAATTTAATATGAGACACATACCTTTCACATAGAAGGTGACTTAAAATCAGTTTCTAAAATTATGAATGTGAATGGAGAGCCTGGATCTGCCTCTGATTCCTGCTCTAACACTCACACTTTTAAAAATATTAACATTTCCTAGTCTTAAGTGACAGAAGTAGGCACTGATATATGAAAAGTGCTAGATATTTTCTATCATGATTTGTGTGACAAATAGATGAAAATAGAAATATCAACAAATTGTAAATAAAAGTGATAACATTATAAGCTTTTCAAAATACAGAGAATTGGATACTATTTTATTAATGAATTGCTTTAAAATCTCTGCAATATTCACCCGCACAGTGAATGGCAGTTACTTTAGGGGCCTGCCATTTACTTACCTCAAACTTTTCTGTTCATTTTATATTATCAATTTTACTGCCAAGAAATAAAGGTAATTGGTCATTTCTGTAACATCAGTGGCTAACTTTTTCATTTTGATAGCTAACGATGTTATGTTTTAAAAAGCACTTTGGAAAAACAAATTACTGAAAAATGTCATGTAAAATCTTAACACTACTGGAAAATTTGATAAAAACCTTTTCAACTATTTTCTTACCTGAACTGTAAGATTTCAGGGTATGTTGATCATTTTCTTTATACTCTACAATATTAATTTTAATTGCTCATGGCCATTAATCAATTTGTCACTGAGTCTTTACTAATGCTTTATGTTACCAAGTTTTTGGTATTTTGGGTTAATATTACTGTTTTATGTCAACTAAGAAAGAGCTTCCAATGTTTCCAAAAGACAAAGGAATAGAACTGCAGCTCCCAGTGCAGTCCCCTCTCCAAAAGCAATGCCCTTCAAAACACTACACGACATACACTTCAGTAACATCTTTGAGGATACAGCACCCAATGCAATGATAGTTAAGGAAAGGATAAGTAGATGGGATTACATCAAGTCAAGAGCTTCTGTAAAGCAAAAGACAGACATCCCACTGATTGGGAAAAATTTTTCTTACACAAAACTAGTGATAAAAGATTGATCATAAAGATATACAAAGAACTGATGAAACTCAACAAAAATAAAGTAAACAACCCCATCAAAAAATGGGAGGAAGAGCTAAAAAGACACTTCTCCAAAGAGGAAATGCAGATAGCCAAGAAGCATATGAAAAAATGTTCAACATCACTCATAATAAGGGAGATGCAAATTAAAACCACAATGAGATACCACCTCACCCCAGTGAGAATGGCACAT